CTCAGCAGTCAGAGAACAATAACCCAATTAATAATGATGGCTCACGGTCTGGTCATATATGCTAGCTAATTTCTGCTCTAATTGTACATTCAGTTGTGTAGACTGTAATTCTTTCTAGTGGAGCAAAAATGTGTTTTATGGTCTTCCAACACCACCTGGTGAAAGATTTTGTTCTTCCTACAGATTTAAAAAAATAAAAAACAGGGCGACTCTCACTGTTTTCTTCAAAGCAACCCACCTGAGTCTGCACATGTTGTCTGATATACATTTGTACATACACTGGCTGAAATGCCATCTGCTGGAGTATATTTTAAGGCTACAACTACAGTACCAAGTGCAACATTTCTGTTTGACTTCCTCATAAAGGCTTGAAGCTGAAATGTGTCAAAGTGTGCTTTAAGGTCTACATGATCATGTCCTGAAAAGGCATTTAAATAGTTTAAACAGACAGTGCTCTGAAATCACTATAACAACAAATCACACTCTTTTCTGTTTTATCTTTTTTTATACCTTTTTTTTGTTCAAAGAAACTTAAGCTCCTAGAACCACATTAGGGCTTTTTTCCTATTTGTCTTGAGATTATTTTTCATACTAAAATATATTATTGTATCAATTCAAACTAAATTAATGTGCACTACAATGTGTAATAAATAACCATTAAAGAAAATATAAAAATAAGACATATGAATATAAAAAAGTCTCCTAAAAACTAAACAGTTAAAAAAAATTTATCTGTGAAAAGGGTTCTAATACTGCCATTGTTGGAAGAAAAAAAAACATACTGATGACACACTGCCCCTAAACATGCATATCTAAGCTTTTTCCATTGGTATGCTTCCTCCGCAGAGTCCTCCCAGGGAAATGTCAGTTCTATAAAATAAAGTATCCTCTGACTCACAGACCAGAATAAACTGTTAAAGATCTTTATTAGTTTCACGCACATGTGACAAAGAAAAACTTCATTTTGAGCATCTTAACCTTTCTAGTGAGCGCCAGAAGGTTTTTTTTCCAGAAACTCTTTTCTCTTTCCTTTATGAAATTATGTCAGACTGACATTTAATCTTGACTAGATTAATTCATGAAAAATGTGACTGGACTTTTTTTTTTATTTCTTAGAAGAGATGTCCTCTCAGGTCAGACTGAGGCTGCTGCCAAGCTCCAGATGTTTGTTTGATGATCCCATTCAGGTGAAGGTGGCCGGGCTGAAGTCCAGACAGGTGGTCACCGTGAGAGCCAGATCCACTGACGACAGGGGGATGGTCTTCAGCTCCTTGGGGACCTATAGAGCTGATGGAAATGGAGAGATCGACGTGGATAAAGACCCCTCACTCAGCGGGAGCTACATCGGGGTGGAGCCCATGGGTCTGCTGTGGTCCATGAAGCCAGATATTTTGCACAAAATGTTTCAAAAAACTAATTATCTTAATCCCCATGTGGTGAGGTTTTCTGTGCATGAAGAAGAAGGAGAGGGCAGGATGTTAGCAGAGGCGACCAATGAGAGACTTCTGATTGGAGACGGGGTCAGCAGGATCCCTGTTAAAGAGGGGAACATTCGGGGAGTCCTGTTTACTCCCCCAGGTTGGTCTACATCAATTATTTCATAGTTAAATCAATCAATCAATTACTTATCTATTTCATTATTAACAAACACATGTCTTAGTTTGACATCGCTCAGGTAAAAGTTAACCTGTTCCAAAGACTTCTCTTGAAAAGTTGCTGAAGGAAACCAAACTACAGATTGGTGCCTGGTCGGTGCAAACACAGGCAGGAACTTTTCATAAAAAGTAATTTATTCAATGAACTTAAACCAAGTAGGCCTACAGCCAATCATATATGCACCTTCTAGTGTTGTAGTCAAGACCACACTAACAGAGACCAAGACCAAGACCAAGACCAAGACCAAGACCAAGACCAAGACCAAGACAAAGACAAAGACCAACACCAAGACCAAGACCAAGACCAAGACCAAGACCAAGACCAAGACCAGGAAATTAGGGATTGAGACTGAGACCAAGACCAAGACCAAGACCAAGACCAAGACCAAGACCAAGACAAGACCAGAGTGATCCAAGACCAAGACAAGACAAGACCAAGACCAAGACCAAGACCAAGACCAAGACCAGAGTGATCTGAGACCGAGACCAGACCGAGACCAAGACCAAGACCAAGACCAAGACCAAGACCAAGACCAAACCAAAACATTAGGAATTGAGACTGAGTCAAGACCAAGACCAAGACCAAGACATTAGGGATTGCGACTGAGTCAAGACCAAGACCAAGACCAAGACCAAGACCAAGACCAAGAAATTAGGGATTGAGACTGAAACCAAGACCAAGACCAAGACCACGACATTAGGGATTGCGACTGAGTCAAGACCAAGACCAAGACCAAGACCAAGACCAAGACCAAGACCAAGACCAAAAAATTAGGGATTGAGACTGAGTCAAGACCAAGACCAAGACCAAGACCAAGACATTAGGGACTGAGACTGAGTCAAGACCAAGACCAAGACCAAGACCAAGACCAAGACCAAGACCAAGACCAAGACCAAGACCAAGACCAAGACCAGAGTGATCCGAGACCAAGACCAAGACCAAGACAAGACAAGACCAAGACCAAGACAAGACATTAGGAATTGAGACTGAGGCAAGACCAAGACCAAGACCAAGACATTAGGGATTGAGACTGAGTCAAGACCAAGACCAAGACCAAGACATAGGGATTGCGACTGAGTCAAGACCAAGACCAAGACCAAGACCAAGAAATTAGGGATTGAGACTGAAACCAAGACCAAGACCAAGACATTAGGGATTGAGACTGAGTCAAGACCAAGACCAAGACCAAGACCAGAGTGATCCGAGACCAAGACCAAGACCAAGACCAAGACATTAGGGACTGAGACTGAGTCAAGACAAGACCAAGACCAAGACCAAGACAAGACCAAGACCAGACAAGACTAAGATTAAGACCGACATTAGGGATTGCGACTGAGTCAAGACCAAGACCAAGACCAAGACCAAGACCAAGACCAAGACCAAGACCAAGACCAAGACTATGACTAAGATTAAGACCAAGACCAAGACATTAGGGATTGTGACTGAGTCAAGACCAAGACCAAGACCAAGACCAAGACCAAGAAATTAGGGATTGCGACTGAGTCAAGACCAAGACCAAGACATTAGGGATTGCGACTGAGTCAAGACCAAGACCAAGACCAAGAAATTAGGGATTGAGACTGAGTCAAGACCAAGACCAAGACCAAGACCAAGACCAAGACCAAGACCAAGACAAGACAAGACCAAGACCAAGACATTAGGGACTGAGTCAGACCAAGACCAAGACCAAGACCAAGACCAAGACCAAGACAAGCTCTGACTAAGATTAAGACCAAGACCAAGACCAAGACCAAGACCAAGACATTAGGGATTGTGACTGAGTCAAGACCAAGACCAAGACCAAGACC